ATATTCCATATGTCCTATGCCTAACATTAATAGGTTGAGAAATAATTAGGGTTTTTTGAAAAATGCTCACATATCATATGGATATTAACCTAAGTAGTGTGCCATGGAAAACAAATGTTTAATGACTTATTGATAAACGTCAATGTCTAATTTAGGTTGTTTGATGCTTGTGAGTCTAAAACCAGTTACAATGGATATTAATAACGTAAATAATGTTTATACAAATGAAGAAATCCATAATTTATTTTTTGTGCACGAAAAGTGCGACAAAGTTCTTAGTAGAACTTGCAGAATGTTTAATGAAAATTATCCACATTTATCTCCGATGACAAAAGGTAAATTTAGAGGAATAGAAGCAAATTTTTTGCATTTTGGACGAATTAATCACGTGTTAAACTGACCAAAAAATGTAGTAGATAATGCAACGGAAGAGGTGAATACCTTGGCTTATTTCGAGCCCAGTCCCAACACCTCAATTCGAGCTGCCAAAGAAGATCTGGGAATCATACTACGAACTTTGTCGCGCTTTTCATGCAAAAAAAATAAATTAAGAATTTCTTGATTTGTGTAAATATTACTTTCGTTATTGTTATCGATTTTAACTCGTTTCAGTACTAATATTAAGGGACATAACAGATAATTATTAGCTCACATGCATCAAGTGACGTAAACAAGTGAGTCTTTGACAAGAACTCATTGAGAAGGCTTGTTTTTCATGGCACACTAGGCTAAATATCCATATGATATGTGTGCATTTTTCAAAAAACCCTAATTATCTCCCAAACTATTAATATTAGGTATGGGCCATATGGGATATAAAAGATGTAGAATGAGACACCGAAGACGACTAAAAAATAAAATATGGGGGGTGCCATTTAAAAAAATGAAGTTATGGTACTTCCAAATTTTGAAAAGTTAACGTGCCATAGTAAAGTGATCAAACGTTCTAGACCGCAGTTCTCGGCACCAAAACATACTCCATCATGTTGCTTAAGCATGTTCTCAATCCTAAATTGATATCCCAAAAATTGAGTGTTTTCTGATTTTTTGAACAAATGTCTGCTGGAGCAGATTTTTCTAGAAAAATTCGAATAACTCGAGAACGACCGAATCAAATTGCAAAAAGTAAAGTTATTTATAAACCTTGAAAACAGACAAATCCAAATATGTAAAAATATACAGGGTGTTCCATTTAAAAAAATAAAGTTGGTGGCGACTTCCGGTATAACCGGAAGTGCAAGAAATCTGAAAATATTTTAGACGAAGAGATCGTAATTGATAATACTTAAGTCTGAATTCTCAAATTTTTATTTTCGCCAGAACCCCAGAAACGTCCAATGACCGGTCTCGCTGAGACAGCCTGTATATATATATATAATTTAATATATATGTTACTCGCAATACCCGAATTCGGACAGTGTACGAATTTTTTACCTACAACGCGTTGTGGGTAAACACGTTCTGAGGAATTTCTTCGGTCATTGAGCAGCGAAAAATACTCACAGCGCGTTGAGAGTATTTAGGTTTACTCAATAGCCGAAATTAACCAGTTTTGCGCATTGTGTACGCCAAAAAGTATCTAGAACGCGTTGTGAGTATTTAACGTTTACTCATAACACGTTGTGGCTATTCAATATTTAATCACATTCGATTGTGGAAATTTTCACCCAATAAATATCCCAGGCTAACACTAACGAATATCTATATGTATAGTGTAGACATATAAATTGTTTTTTTAATCTTATTATTGAAAAATTGAAAAAAATTAAACAATTGCATTTTAGAAAGTCTTGCTTTGATCCCGTTGAAACCATTGCTTCTTGTCGAACTGTCACTTTCTTGTTGGAGACATTAGTTTTTACTAGTTGAAATTCATTTCTTGAATATAACTAAACGAAAATATATTTGGATGAACTTCTTCTGTTATAACAGCTAAAATATTTCGTTAGTATAATTATTCACAGGTAGATCTCATATTTTGAACTATCAAGACCACTTAACAAAGTTTTTAGTACTGCGTCCACTATAAACAAAGACTGCTGAAGAAGTAGCAGATTACTTGGAGAGCTCCTAACATTCTTCACAGTGACAATGGCTGTGGACGACTAGCCATATCTGGAATGTCTATCAAAATATTGTCTCCGATAGAGACTGGTGGAAATTTCTTATTCGAATTCTCGATCATTTTTCTTGCTTGTTCCTCTAACTCGCGTTTACAGCTTTTTCGAGAACTAGTAATCGCTTTTTTATTAGCACAAAGGTGACATAAAGGTATATTGGATGCCGATAAAGAAGCACATCCTAAGATATTTCTTCATTATATTCCTCATTGCAGACTGAACAAACTCTGCAATGTACTTCCATTACCAAAACTGGTGATAAATTTTCATTGGTGTCTTCGTCTGCTACATTCTCTATGTTTGATTCGACATTTTGGTTAATTTTTCGTAAATGCTCTTCAAGTTCTTCTTCAGTCGTAAAATTTTGAACTATATCACTTGGTAAGTATGAATTCAGGTGTCCAATTTTTGTGCAATTCCAAACAAAGCTTCTTTTTATTCCACTATGATCTTGAATATTTCGCACTTTGAACAAATCGAAGACCAGTTGACTAACTCGTCGAATTATTATCTCTCATCCAAGCCACCAAACTATTACGGACATCTTGGTTAGCTTGTTCAACAGAGCCTTGGCTTGGAATCTTCTGGTTTTTCGAGTACAATCTTAACGCCATTCCATTTAATGGCTAACTCTTTTATTAGCTGAATCAAAATACTCGTTTATAGGAAAAATAAACTCAAGTATCGAAATAAAAGGAAATTATCGAAAATTTGTCACCTTATTCGAGAATTCACGGCCATTGTCACTATGAAGAACTTCACGGCCTTGTGCAGCCGTTGCCAGATGGAAATTCAACAAATAGTTTACATATTCGGAAAGAGTTGACCTTGGACTATCTTACTCCGAGTTTTCGTCCGTCAATATCTGTCGGCGTCTGTAAAAAAACCGCTCCTGAAAAAGAGCCTACAGTTGGCAACAAAGTTTACTTTTGTATTTCCATCTATGTACTTTTCGGACGGATATCTTTGTTATTTATAACGCTAGCGAAAAACTAAGCACACGGTTGGAAAGCTTGCTCATTTCTCTATCTTAAACCGAGTTTTCGTCCGCCGATATGTTGATAATGAGAGCAAGAAAAAATAAGAAACGTCGCGCTGCCACGAATTTTTGCCGCGGCTAAACCACGCTTGGGTCAATAACTCTCTTATATGACGGGGAGAAAACTCTAGAACTATATTCATCTTATGGGAAATTTTCTGCTCTTTTCATCGGTATATAACACATCTCAATCACA